TTGGCCCGAAAAGGCTAACCTTTTTCACTACGGCAGGATTATATGTATATATGTAATGTATATTATATAGTACACACACACACATACATGCATAATTACATTCCTACATACCTCCAAACCTCCACACCTACTACAACCTGTATACCTACATACCGACATATTTGCATATATTCATACATTATACACATATACACATATACACATGTACATATATACATATATACATATATACACATATACATATATACACATATACATATATACACATATACATATATACACATATACATATATACATATATACATATATACATATATACATATATACATATATACATATATACATATATACATATATACATATATACATATATACATATATACATGTATACATATATACATATATACATATATACATATATACATATATACATATATACATATATACATATATACATATATACATATATACATCTATACATATATACATATATACATATATACATATATACATATATACATATATACATATATACATATATACATATATACATATATACATATATACATATATACATATATACATGTATACATATATACATATATACATATGTATGCATGCATGTATGTATATAGATACACCCGCAAAGGTGAAAGGATACCTAATACCTGCTACCCAACCCCTGAACTATTGTGCATTCCCTCCGTCCCGATACACTCCACAGGGTTTAGGGTTAGAGGCTTAGAGATATCGGGCTTTGGGCAAAGTTGAGGGTTTAGGCCCGGATTTAGTGCCCTAAAGACTCGGCCTTGAGGCAGCAAACGTTTAGCCCTTAAATGCTGTTCACTGAGGCCTTGAACCTGCAGCCCTGCAAAACCTTCGTCTGCAGTACCGGTGTTTATACCCGCCAACCCCTCCCTGCCCCTTGTACAATGCTGGAATCTTTGTATGCCCTAAACTGTAACTAAGCAGTCAAAGCATCCCCCCTCGTGCCTCCGGGCGTCCCGTCTCAGCGTCGGCGCCAACGGACAGAACTCGATGAACTTTCATCTCCATGATCCCCCAGCTGTGTTATGGTGTTACTGTTGCTGGCCCCCCTTGAAGTGCTCGTCTCGAAAATCCCAAAGTTTTCATCTCAAGTTCAGATCCGCTAACTGCCAAGAGGTTGAAATTCTTGCTGTATTAGTATTGATAAACCCTAACTCTAAACTCTTTACCCCCAAAAATGCTGGCCCCCTAATGGTAAGGACCGATCTTGGGATTCACAATGCTTTGAATTCCACATTCGGGGATCTTGCCATCTCCGGCTACCCACTGCCAGTTCGGAGCACTCACAGTTGTTGCTATCTTGCCCTTCTCACCAAGCTAACATATAACTGCTATATATATGGACCAAACCGATTGCAAAGCTATCACAAAGGTCGCGGCCGTGTTTCACTTGTGAATAGTACGGCCCAAGACATGCAAAGGGTACTCACCTACCCTTCTCGCAATGGGCAGCAACATCAGCGCTTGAGTTGTCGCACAGCAGTCAGCATGTCCTCATCAGTCTCTCGCCTGCAACACCCTGAAACTTGAATGAAGCAATACACCTCACAACCAACGCTCCAAGAAATAAGGGTTGAGGGGTACGCAGTTGGCATGGGGCCTCTAGGAACTTCCCAAAGAATCTTCTTAGGCTGTTAATTGATAGGATATATACTATCCTATTATAGGATATATAGGCTATTTATAAATAGCCTAAATAGTCTATTATAGGATATGTAAATATCCTAAAATAGACTAATTTTCTATGTCTTGAAATGCCATCGTATTGGCATTGAGCTGCAAGGCCACAATAAGTTGCTTGCATCAGTGCCTTCACTTGGCATGTGAAAGGGTCAGCAGGAAGCCAAAGGCTCCTAAGGTTGAGCTAGGATTCGTAGCGAGACAGGAAACCGAAGGCTAGATCTAGAGTAATGATCGAGAGGAACAGGAAGCCGAAGGCTCCTCTAGAGTAATGATCGACAGGAAGCCCAAGGCTCCTCTAGAGTGTTTGCATGCCTGTAGAGTGTGAGTGCTTGTTTAATGCATGTGCATATATATCTGCAGCTTTTGTGCTCGAAGCTCTTAAGCTAGTGCCCTTCGAAGCCATGAGGGTGGCAGCTCTTGTGCTGCTGGTGGCCGTGTGGGGCCGTGTCGACGATGGATGGGAAGTCGTTCACACGGCCCCTGAAGATGGTGCAGCTGGTGCTGGTGCTGCCCCGAACCAGCCGATGCAGGTGGACGAGGAGGGCCCTCCGGAAGTGCCAGTGCCGGTGCAGGCGGAAGTGATCCCCGGTGCTGGTGCTGCAGGTCCGGAAGTGCCAGTGCAGGCGGAAGTGATCCCCGGTACTGGTGCTGCAGGTCCGGAAATGCCAATGCCGATGGAGGCGGAAGTGATCGACCTGAGCTTCGAGGAATCTGCGGAGCTCCATGAGGCGGCGGAGAAAGCGAAGGCAGCCGCTGCCGCTGAGGCGGCTGAGAGGGCCAAGGCTGCCGCTGAGGCGGCTGAGAGGGCCAAGGCTGCCGCTGAGGCGGCTCAGAGGGCGAAGCTCGAAGAAGCTGAGAAAAAGAAGGCAGAAGCTCTAGCAAGGGCTCAACAGAAGACGAAGATGCACGAGGAGGCTGCCAAAAAAACTCACGAGGCAGCAGAGAGGCTAGCTGAGCTTTGCATGGCTGAAGAAGAGGCAGCAGCCCGTTTGGAGCAACTGCTGCAGCAGGCGGCCTCCAGCTCAGGCGCCACTTCAAAAATTTAGGAAGCCAATGGCTCCTTCAGCTTTATAAGTATAGATCAGGCAGCCACAGGCTCCTAAGCTCCGGTCCGGCCTGCAGGTGCTCAAAGCTCCACGTGGAGACCGGGTGCACCTGGCCCGGAGCAGACTCAAAGCCCAGGCTCGATCCCGACAAAATCTTTTAATCTAAGACAATGGCGCCTGCAGGTTGTCAAAGCTCCACGGCTGCACCTGGCTCGGAGCAGACTCAAGGCCCAGGCTCGACCCCGACAAGTTCTAAGGCTTAATATAGGAAGCACATGGCTCCTTCAGCTTTTAAGTAGGATGGATCAGGCAGCCACAGGCTCCTAAGCTCTGGTCCGGCCTGCAGGTTGTCAAAGCTCCCCGTGGGCAACTGGTCCGGAGCAGACTCAAGGCCCAGGCTGGACCCGGCAAAATCTAAGGCATGTAATCGATCCAGATCCCTGCTGCAGGTGCTGGAGTTCCCCCGTGGCGGCGAGCTGTTCCTGAAAGTCCACCACCGCCGCAAGGGCCGCCGCCGCAAGGGTGGCAAACTCAACCGCCGCAAGGGCCGCCGCCGCAAGGGTGGCATACTCAACCGCCGCAAGGGCCGCCGCCGTTAAGCTGGCCTCAAGGACATGCTTGGGCTCCAGGCTACCCTTGGCAGTTTCCTCAAGCATGGCCTGGAGTCACGTGGCCTCCTCCGCTAGGCTGGCCCAGCTGCACGTGGCCACAAGGTCCACTTCAAGCTCCACCTCAAGGTCCACTTCAAGCTCCACCTCAAGGTCCTCAAGCTCCACCTCAAGTTCCTCAAGCTCCACCTCAAGTTCCACTTCAAGCTCAAGGTGAAGTTCACTTTCAAGCTCAAGCACAAGCTTCACCTCGACCTCCACCTCCACCACCTCAAGTTGAACCTCAAGCTCAAGAAGCTCCACTCCCACCGCAGGAACCTCCACGTCCACAAGCTGAAGGTCGACCAGAAGCTGCTGGGTTTTCAGGTGGACGAGCTCGTGCAGGACATGGTTTAATCAGGTAGCCAGCGGCTCCTTTTTTACAGGATTTATAAATCAGGTAGCCAGCGGCTCCTTTTTTACAGGATATTGGTGGCATCGTAATGCTTGCTTCCAGGACCTCGCCTCGACCTACGATGGTGCCGTGTCTGCCATGCCCAGAGCTACTACCAGTCCGGCACATGTGTCAACCCGGCCTGCGAAGCTTAGCTTATTTTGAGACCCTAGACCCTAAACCCCTAAACCCTCAACCCTAAGGCCGAAATTTAATCCATACAGCCGAGGCATTGTACACGGGCAAACGTCCAACCACGGGGGGGTGGCGCTTAAAGCGAGGAACCCGTGGCAAGAAGCGGGCTGAGTGGTGGAGCAAGCGGCACGGAGGCCAGTGTGTTATAAATAGCAGGCAGCCTTGGGCTCCTGTAAGTATATATATATATATATATATATATATTATAAATAGCAGGCAGCCTCGGGCTCCTTCCTATAAGTATATATCCTATAAGTATATTATATATAATATATTATATTATATATTATATATATATGTAGATAACTCCTTAGAGTGTTGTCCCTGCCCATGCAAGTAAACCCCCCTGCAGGTGCTTCTGGCTCCAAGGGCCAGGATGACGAGGAAGATGACGATGAAGAAGAGGAAGACGATCAGACATGGGGCCCCTGGAATCCCAAAGATGGCTCGAACGGTGACAAGAACGGCGGTGGATGGGGCTCCTCTGGTGGATGGGGTTCCTCGCAAAGCTGGGGAACTCCAGCCGTGTGACCATGCAGCGAGCATAATGCACGATCGGTTCTTGCAGAAAAAAGTTTTGTGTCCGTGTTGTGTACTGTAAGTGACTTAAGGCAGGAAGCCTCAGGCTCCTTGAAGTGGTAGAGGTGCAGCAATTATAACAGGAGCACTATATGCACCCTAAACCTTAAACCCTTAAACCCTAAAGCCCCAAACCCTAAACCCGCCTGCGAGCTTCTTGCAGTTTTTCAATAGGGCAGGAAGCCTCAGGCTCCTCAGAAGGTTTAGGACAGGAAGCCTCAGGCTCCTCAGAGGGTTTAGAACAGGAAGCCTTGGGCTCCTGAAGCTTGAAGCTAGAGTTTGACCGTGGCCGAGGATTACTGTAGCACTCTAGAGGCTCCCATGTCAGCCCAGGCCCCTTGTCATCTGCATACCGTGCTGCAGTCCTGGAGCTCAAGACAAGACGTGTTTCACCCTCGCTTGAAGCCATGAGCCAGAGTGCCTTGGACGTGTTCTTCGGTGGAAAGGGTAGTGAGCCAGAGCTCGACACTCAGCAAGAAGACACTCAAGAAGTGGAGGTAGTTCAGGAAGTCCCGGAGCCTCAAGAGCCTGAAGCTAGCGAGGTTGAGGCTGCACCCAAGGCCAAGGCCAAGGCCAAAGCCAAGGCCAAGGCCAAGGCCAAGGCCAAAGCCAAGGCCAAGGCAAAGGCGAAGGCCAAAAGCAAGGCCGCCGAGGAGCATAAAGCAAAGGCCAAAGGCAAGGCGGCAAAGTCCGAGAAGTCCAGCGAGGACGAGAAGGCGGACGACGAGGCCGTGGCGAAGGAGGAGAAGCAGCAGGAGTCGAGCCAGGAGCACGAGCAGGACGAGAAGGCCGACAGCGACAGCAAGGACACCAAGCCCCAAGCCAAGGCCAAGGCGAAGGCCAAAGCCAAGGCCAAAGCCAAGGCCAAGGGCAAGGGAAGCACGGTCGAAGAGCCGAACCCCCCCGACAACGGTACGGAGAAGCGACCGGGCAGCCCGCCGGAGGAAAGCAGCAAGGCGAAAAAGTCTCGCTCGGACCAGGACCGTGAGAAAGCGGCGAAGCTGGGCGACCTGCAGCTTTGCAACAGCGAGCCCCAGCCGCCTGCCGGGCAGGGGGAAAGGCAGGGACAAGAACAAGGCATGGTGGTTCTCGAAGCACTTGAGCACCATGCCGGACGATATCCAGAAGTTGTTTCTCTCTGAGAAAGTGTCACGGGTGCCTTGCCACATTTTGATATCTAGGCTTTGGCCCTATAAAGGAGGCACCGTCAGAGGCAGCCTTTGGCTCCTGCTATAATTGCCATAGGCTTTTGATCCTTGAGGTAGCCTTTGGCTCCTGCTGTGCAACCATCTGAGGCCGACAAGACGAAGCTCATCAATGCTGCGGTTGAGAAGAAATCCGGGGGCAAGGCCGGCCAGATGTACAAGCTGAACACCGAGTCCGCCGTGCTCCAGCAGCTGAGCACCTTCTACAAGAAGGTTTGTGGCAAGGACAAGGTGAAGGGCAAACCCAGAGCACTGATGGTGGCCAAGCTGGGAGGGGAGGGAAAGCTCTGGCCACCGGGGATGTGTATGAGGTGAACAACAATGGTTCCTTGTTCTACTGCTTCAGAGAGATCGTCGTCACCAATGAGACTGGCACCAACAATAGGATGTCGACATCGAAGCTACGGAGCATTTAGAGGCTTATGTTTTAAAAGCTTGAGTGAGCTATAGATACTAAGTTTTGTTCCCATCAGCTCAGGAAGCCCGACCAGAGCATCACCGACTCCGCCGCCCAGGGATTCGACAGCTTCTTCGCAAACTTCCAACCATGCCTGGAACCGGACCGTGCTGCTGGATGTGGCTCAGAGCTCCAGGGTGGCCTTCTGGCTTTGTGTGACAAACCGGGAGCAGAGAGCTGGACTGCGGAAGCTAGTACGAAGGTGGAGGAAGCTTTGCAGTGGGCAAATGCCACGAGGATCAGTGTTTCCAAAGTGCTTTCAAAGGAGACGGCAGCTTTGAGCAAAAGCTCGGTGTGGACGACCCTCAAGGGCCAGCTCCAGAAGGCTTGGGAGGACTTGATGCCCTTGCACTCGGATCTCGAGAAAGCGAAGCTCTTCAAGAACCTTTCGCTTGCTGAGCTGAGGTCGCTGTTGCAAAAGGCTGCAACTGGCCTGCTCGCAGCCCAGGATTTGATCAAGGGCATGACTGCCCTAATTTGATTTTGAATGTTTCCATTCTACAATTCGTCTTTTAGGATCGACGTGTCATGACACATGTGCATGTTTGCTCTGGGGATCGAAGCAGCTGCTGCGACGAAAAAGAAGTGCATGTATGCAGGTGAGCTTTAGGAAGCCAAAGGCTCCTAAGAGAATATTATATATATCCTAGGTGTATGTTGCAAAGGAAGCCTTCGGCTCCTCCAAAGAAGACTTTATCTTCGGGTTTGGTGGATGTTTCTTAAGTTAACTCTGAGGCTTTAGGGTTTGCAGGGCCATAAGTTTTGAGATAGATGATTTTTTTGGTTGAGGTGTCTGGGTTTTCTGGAGTACTCGGGTTTAGGGTTTTTGGTTGCAGCTTTTCTCGAGTTAAAGGGTTAGGCTATAATTGAGGGTTGCGGGCTGGGGTTATAGGGGTTTAGGGTTTTCACGACATTGGATTTGGGATGTTCGGGTGTTCAGGATTCAGGGGTTTAGGGGTTTAGGGTATAGGTGACAGCTCAAGAGATCCGCTGTCACTGGCAACACGGATCAAAAGCAAGAGGCGCAGCCTTTTCTGCACTACGAAACCAAAAAAACTCTTGTGCCTTCACGCCACAGCGGTCGAGGAGAGCTTTCAGCGATGCTGCCTGCAAGCAACGGAATCTTCACGTTTACACTGGTTAAAACTCTCCTCGTCCTTTCGGAAAAGGTCTTTCCTGAACGGTAACTGTACTCCGTTCGCTAATGCTTCCCACCATCCTTCTACCCGTTTGGGCTTGGTGAGCGGATCGGCAAGTTGGATCGAAGTGGGTATCCACTGGAAAGGCAAACGATCGCACCACTTCTCAAGTCGCAGCTCCTGTCTGAGGGCTGCCAAGTCTATGGCTAACCTTCGGTCTGTGGGCACCTTCGGTACTCCAGCCTTATGCAGGAAATCAAACAAGGACTTGCAATCAGACAAGCAGACGATGGGCCACCGTCGTCGAGCTTCAGCATGTCCCATTAGGCGCCCAGTGAGCAGTGTGCCGAACAGTGCCCTCATGTACTGGGCTCCCTCCAGTCCTTCAGCCGCTGCCATGGTCTCGGCCCCAAAGGTCGACCTGCACACTCGCTTGCAACTCTGGCTGCGCCACTCCAGCGTACTTCCGCGGGCGTGCTCCCCGTGGAGGATCTTGTAGGGAAAGAGCATGATGAGGTGTCCTATTTGGGACGCCACCTTGGACCCAGGTCGTTTGGGCCGCCTGGGTCTGTCCTCGTCGTAGAACTCCCGAATCGTGCCGCCGGACACCTCTTGCGGGGTCAGGCGGAAGTCGCTCTCGTCCTCCTCGAGGTCGGCGTTGGCCCATCCAGCGTCGTGGTAGGCGATGAACACGGCGTCGTTCGCGTCCACCCTTCGTAGGTATACTCCGTGCTCGCGGTGTTCCTTCGCCTTGGCGGTGAGCCGGTTCACAAAGCGCACGTCTTCTGTGGAAGGAGCGCGCTGGAGCTGCTGAGACATCGCCACTCCACATGCCAGGTCGGGACGGCTCTGGCTGCTCAACCAACTGAGCGCCCCCAACAAGGACCTGTTGTCGATGGTCTGCTCCTCGTCGGCGGGCGACTTCCCATCCTGGTTCTTGGGCACTTCCACGGTGAAGAGCCTTCCATCCACGAAGTTTGCCTGGTTCACGGTGATCCCCTCATCGTCGACATTGATGAAGGACCCTGTGTACTCGAAGGCCCCCTCGATCCAGTCGTCGACCGGAAAGAGTCGACTGATCTCCTTCTGGAGGAACCTGTTGACGCCCGTCGGAGCTCCGATGAGGATGTCGTCAACGTGGACGGTGAGCAGGGCGATGGGCTCGGAGTCCTTGCCAACCTCCTTCATCATAAGCACGCAAGCGTCCAGCGGGCTGGGCACAAGGCGGTACTCCTTTCCTTCGTAGTCGAGCACCTCGCTGGTTAGCACCCCGAACAGGCGGTCGAACCACATCCTCGGACTTTCCGATAGCCCAAAGATGCCCTTACAGACTCGCGCTAGTTGGCGTGGGTCCAGTCCTTCCACGCCGTGGCGTGGTTAGGATATCCACAGTTCCCTCTTGAGCTCCACGCCTTGCAGAAAAGCGGCTTGCACATCGCCCGCTGCCGCAGTCCATCCATTGGTGGCGCAAATCTGTAGCACGGTCAGCAGCGAGGATCGGGCCACCGTCGGGGAGTCCGTGTGGATGCTGCTGTCCCCCGCGTCTGGGTCTAAGTGCCCAGCAATCACCAGGCGCGACTTTGGCTTCCAATCAGCCGTGGGGTCGACTCGTCGAAGGCCCATGTGCTTGTCTTTGTAGGCAAACCTTGAGTTCAGTATGCGGTTGGCTGGTACAGTGGCTCTCACTCTCTCTCGCTCTCGGCAACGCTCAGCACCTTGATCGCCTGGTTGTCGACGTGTTCGGCCCACTGAACTCCTTCGGCAGCACGAAACCTGGGGCGGATGTCCTCCGGGATGAGCTCCCAGGGGATCTCCTTCTCGAGGGCCTTTTCTCGAGACCGCTTCGTGCGAGCTCGCTTCATCATGAGGACACCATGCGCGTCACCTTGTCTTCCCTTTCGTCGTTGTCGCTTGAACACCACCGGGCCCGGGTGGTCCGCTCCACGACGTACTCCTTGTAGAGGTGGGTCGGGCTCGCCGTGCTCCACTTCAGCCATCGGGAGGTCGGGTTCCTCCATTTCCTCGTCGCCGGGGTCGATGTAGCCCACTCCACCCTCGACATCCTCCTCAAAGGCTTGCTCCTCATCGTCGAGGTTGAGGAGGCGGTCCAGGTCGTCGCGGGCGGCTCGTAGGCTAAAGGCTTGACCAAGTTCTTCCGGAGTCGCAAGCCTGATGTGCTCTGGGGAGCACAAAATGCAGCGCCCACCACGGGTGACCCAGGCGTTCACCCCTTCATACCCGATCACGGTCCCAGGACCCATCCACACTCCACGCTTGTTGTTCTTGGTCTTGCGATAGTAGAAAACTCGCTCCCCGCACTCAGGAGGTCTCGCGGTCACCCTGCTGCGTCCCGCCAGGGCTCTCCGTACTCGCTCGTCAGACTGGACATGGTAGTAGGCGGCCCTCGCGGAGTGCCGGACGGCCACTTCACGAGCATGGCGGTCGTCGATAATAGGGTCATCTCCGGGATCTCCAGCATGGGGTCCGTTAAGGAGGTCGTCGGGGTCGTTCGCGATGTAGCCGAACACGTGTTGAGCCGGGCTGTATCCACTGACCTTGGCCAACTTATTCTTCGCGCTGGAAACAGCACCAATGGCCACTTCAATGTCGGCCTTGCCGACGGAGAGCTCGTCACAGAGTTTGGCAAAAGTTGCCTTCCATATGCCTCCTTGTCGCTCTGTGTAACCGGCCTGGTAGTGAGCCTGTCCCGCGGCATTACGCAGCCGTGCGCCGGTCCAATCTCCAACCCGGGCCAGAGCCTTTTCGAGCCCGTTCTCCAAGTCCACCGCGATCACGTCTGGTGCCCCAAACACGTTCAACCAATGTTCACAGTACGCCTTTTCTAAGGTGGCCGTGTCCTTGCGGGCAATCTTCACAACAACGTGATATGAGGAGGAGAAGTCGACCAGGGACAGTAGTTGGTGGCGATCGCCGCCGGAGTCGTGGACGTAGAAGATATCGGCACCGATCATCTGGTTGAACCGCAGACACGGGGCAACCTTAGCAGGCTTGGCGATCGCAGGGGCCTTTGCTCTGCGACACACTTCGCAGTTCAGGCTCTTGGCGGCCTTCAGCACTTCCCGAGTCGCACCTGCGAGTCGTAGGTGGCGGCAGAAGTCGATGGCACTAGGGTGCCCCAAGTTCTGGTGGAGGCGGCGAAGACTGCTCGCAATCTTTCCCGGAACAGAAGCGGGGAATGTGATGGCCTTGGCTCCCCGCTCGCCTCCTTCATCTTGATCTCGTTCGACTTCGCCCGGTGCTCCATCGGGCTCGCCCTCGCCGATTTCCTCCTCGTCGGCAATCTCCCCGGCGAGGACCTCGTTGATGCGGGGAAACTCCGCGTCGTAGAACACGCGCAGCAGCTCGTTGCCGTCCTCGTCGAAGTCGGTCTGGGTGAAGTAGCCTTGGTCGCTCCATCCACCGGTGAGGGACTCCCACACCTCGTCATCATCGATGTTCTTCTCGAAGATCACAGCTCCTCCTTCGCGTAGTTGTCGTCCCACTGCGTCGACCACATCATTGTAGACGTCCGGGTACTTCCAGTTGGGGATCACGTGCATCCAAAGCTGCCCGGGACGGTGACGGATCACCGCCGTCTCGACGATCCCAAACGGAGCATCCTCAGGGTGGTCGTCGTAGTTCAGGTCGTCCGGGAGGATAGGCTCAACGACTTTGATGTGATCGCCTCCGTATTCTGCCACTCGGCAGGTTGCACTCAAGCCTCCAACCTCAAGTAGCGACACCGCGGGTGCGGTCCCAACTGGTACCGCCTCGCACGCCGCCCCGTTCATGGAGGCCAGCACCGCATTGAACATCACGCTCAAGAAGGCGGCAGTCTTCCACATGGCACGTCGCTGGCTGCGACGGGGTTTCACGACGGACTGGGATGACCCCGGAACCTTGGGTACTTCGTTCCACTTGGCATGGTCGATGCGGGTCTCCCGGATGTCGCTAGCCGTGGGCAACGGGAAACCAAGGTTCCTGAGCACCTTCTTCTCGGTCTTGTTGGCGTCGGGGAAGGTCCTCGGCGTGTACGCTGCGATGGTCCAGCGTCCTCCGGCGGAAGGTTCGGAGGCATGCCGTGCGCGGGGGTCGAATTCGCACACCTGCCGGTCGGTGTCCACGATCTCGCCCTCGATGTCGTTCCCGGCATGGTCTCTCCTCCATATGCCTCCGCCTGGGCTCTCGACCCACAGTCCACCCCCAGGTCCTCCTCCGAAGCTCACGACAAAGTTGGGGGAGCCCTTCAGGTTGTTCTTGTCGGTGTGCATGGCTGCCGGGCAGTCACGAAGCACCGTGATGGCGCTCCAATAGGTGCGGCGCTCATTTCCTCCATCACCTCCTGTGTGTTCCCGAAGGAGACGGTTCAAGTAGAGCGTCAAGTTCGCCCACCTTGTTGTCTGCTTGCAAACCCCCTTGAAGGCGCCGTACGCGTAGTACCCGATCGCAACCCTGGTCCCGTCCGGCGCCTCGTGGATGTTGGGCCTTCGCATAGGGCACCCTTTGAAGTCGTAGAGGTCGAGGATCTCCGCAGTGCGCTCAAAGGAAAAGTCGCCTTCACGTAGGGCCTGGGTGGCGGCCAGTTCGCCAGGGTGTTCGTTGTGGTGTCGTGCCCCGGTGACATCCTCACCAAGCTTGGTGAGGGCCCCCCGAGAGAGAAATGCCTCCTCTACTCTGTCGTCCGAACCAGATGCGCAAGAGCGGAAGGAGGCATCGTCGTGCTTGTCGTTGGTGTCGTGTGGCTCCCGAAGGGAGCCGGTGTGGCCGCCTTTGCTCACTGTGACCCGTGAACCCCACAGCAGTCCTTGAGAGCCGCCAGCCTCGCCTCCAGTGTGCGGATCTCCTCCAGCGTCTCGGGGTCCACGTCCTGCTCCATGCGGGCCTTCCCTTCTGGTGATCTCTCGCGCCTGGTCGCCTTCGCCTTGGTGAACGGTGTCACGGGGTTCGCTGGAGCCTCCGGTCGCCAATCGTGAAGTCCCCTCGAGCTCGAGGGCGGAATGGGCCGCCAGTTCGTCAACGACCCGCTTGGATCCTCGACCACGCCCCACACCGAAGACCCGGTCTCGCTCAGAGGGGGTGGTGGCACCATCGCGTCCATCTCTGGGTCCCGGTAGCCGCGGCTCGATGCAGTGGCCCTCGACCCTTGAGCTCGCCGGTGTCGCCGCCAGGTGACGAACCGCTTCAGGTCCGGGGACATGTTGTTCCCGTTCTTCCGCTCTTCCTCCGAGGCCCACGCTCCGTAGTTCTCGGGGATGTCCATGTAGCTGCTGCCGCGGAACCTTCCTATCGTCATCACCGTCGAGTCGGGGGCCGTCGTGTCCCTGATCTTCAGCATGAGGCTTCCCTTGGTCTCCTTCGCACCGAGTGGGATCTTCAGGTTGTCCGCTTCCTGGCGAAGCTCCGCGATCGTCATCGAGCTGAGGCCCTTGGGAACTTCCGACGGGCCGCGGTGGTAGTCCGAGTCGTTGGTGAGGACCGTCCTGAGTTCCGGGCACGTCCACTTCGAATTGACTGCTAGACCCCGGCGGTTGGCTTCGGCTAGCAGCTGGACCTTCGTCATCTTCCATACCGCAATCGGAGGGGCGCCGCTGTCCATGCCGCGCAGCGAAAGGGTCAGGAGGAGGCGCTTGCCTGTTGAAGACGCTGCGGCCGACCCACAGCACTGGATATCCATCAGCACACTGCTCGGGCTTAGCGGTCCACACTTCAGTGGCATTGCTCAGAACTCTCTGTGACATGCAACTGATCCCACAAGTCTCTCGCACACTCCCAAGCTGCGCCAACAATTGCTCTCGTTGAAGAGAATGTGGGGTTCTCCACGAGCGGGGATCAAAGAAGTACTTCCTCGGGGTGGTGTGGATCCTCACTAGCTTGTCGGGGGTTTCTATCCAAAAGTCGTTGACATCTGTCTTAGCCCACCACGCAAGAAAGACTGTGTCATTCAGGACATCGGCAACGAGCATGTCACGGACGGCAGGGTCTATCTTTTTGTCGTAAAAGATCTTGGGATTAGGTAGCACAGAAGTAGAAGAGGAACTGGAAGACTGGCCTACCCCATCATCCCTTGCACATGCAGTCATGTATACCACACGCGGACTGAGCACTGCGACACCGTGCGGCTCCCAGCTTTTGGGAAGTTGCGAAACGTCGGGCTTGTCAGGATTGCCGTAGTCGATGCAGATGGCCGGGTGCCCGCTCGAGGTCTCGAGCAAAGTGAGCTCGCCTTCGCCGAGCTTCCGGAAGTGGGCCTTGCCAAGCCCAAGGTCGAGCACTAAGCCGAGGTGCCCAAGAGCCGGTCGCGACATCAGGAGTGGCAGGTCTCCATGTATCACGGCGGCTTTCACTCCAAGCCACTTGCCCAGCACATTCATCATGATCACCGCCGCATAGGTCGACTCATAGATGCGGTTCGCCGCTCCGAACTTGAAGCACTCACGCTCGTACACAAACTCGCACTCGAAGCCTTTCTCCTTGATGCTGGCAAGGTACCGCTCGAGCCATCCGGTGCCCACAACGGTCTTTGAGCAGGCTGAGTCCAGGATGGCATAAAGGTCACTGCTGTCCCCGCACGCGGTGAGCTCGTAGATCTCGTTGGTCACGTGCACGGTCTGGGCCTTGTTCGCGGCAGCGGTGTTGGCCTCGTAGTTAGGACACACAGGATCCCGATGCCAGTGCCCTTTCTTGCCACAGGAAGCGCAATGACTTTTGGACTTAGCCAGGAGGATCTTGGCTTCGGCGGCCTTCTTCACAGCTTGGGTGTCGAACTTCTTTCCGCCGCCTCCCCTCGACCTTGCAGCATCTCTGTACTTAGCCTTGGCCGTCATGTAGGAGATGTAGAGCTCGCCGGTGTCCTGCCCGACCTGGTCCTCGAGCATCGCGTCCTCCTCGCCCTCATCATCTTCGTCGAAGACGCCGTCGGCAGCGAGGTTCACGGAGTTGAAGCGCCGGTTGCCAGGAGCATCTCCACGAGTCCCCTTCTCCCAGGGCTTGCGGATAGACCTGTCGAGCACTATCGCAGCCTGTTGTAGTTCCCGAAGGGCGTACTTGTTACCCACTGAGGCGAGAAGGGACACCTCAGTGGTCTCATCAAGATTGGCCCGATCCACGAAGAGCCAAGCATTCGCCACATCTGGGAGGGTGCAGCCGCATTCTGTGACCCTGGCCAGCAAGCGGTTGAACTCTGCCGAAAAAATCGCGGAAGGTTTGCGTCGGCTTCCGGCGCAGCTTTCTGAACAGGTCGCTCAATGAGCGACCCACCTGAGTCACCTCCACGTCCAAGTAGTGCTGCCGAATCCAATCCTTGAGGTAGGTCACGCCAGAGTCGCTTGCCAAGTCCTCCACGCACAAAGACTCTGCATTCACCCATGCTGAGCCTTGCAGGTTCTGATATAGAACCAAAGCTTTCTGCCCCGCGGAGAGCTTCGTCATCTTCTCCCACGCGGCTATTTGCCGAAGGTAGCTCCGAGCCGACGTCCCAAGTTCATTGCCACCTTCGCAGTCCCCGCTAAATGTAGGGATCAACAACTTCTCGGTGGGGCCCTTCATCCCGCCTTGCACTGCAGGTTCTCCCGCAGTCCTCTCAGTCGCTGTAGACAAACTCCCGGAACGGGTAGAAGAAGGAAGGGGCGCAGTCGCCGTAGGAGGTGTCCCGGGGGTACTTGTAGTCCCGGGGCCGCCAGAATTCCATGTCGTAGAAGACGGATCAGTCGCGAAGCTCGTTGGGGCAGTCCCGGAGGTATTGGTAGGCCACGAAGTAGGGTCGCCGTCGCTCCAGTAGTATCGGTACCATCCGCTACGGTCGTTTCCCCAGTGATCTCCCCACCGTCCTCCGTGCCACTGCTGGGGCCAGGACTGCCACGTAGTCCAGGACTTCCAGGATCCGTCGGAAGCCCGGCGATCGCCCGTAGTAGTCGCATCACCAGAACTTCCATCGCTGCTGTTGTCAACACGTCGCTGGGCCCAGTCTGACCCACGCCAAGAATCCACTGCAGGCGCGTCGGCGCCTCCCCCGGGCTCTTGGTTCCCACTAGACTGAGGTCCAGCTTCGGTCTGCTCTTGCACACTCGCTTCTGCATTGGGCTCATACACATCACCAGGGCGCACACTGTGAGCCCCTTCACCGGTCCACGCACTGGTGTTCCAAGGGTCGTTGTCAGGCGCCGACCACGGGTCGGCAGGAGCATCAGAGGCCATGAGAGCGCGCAGGCTCCGCTACCAGTGACAGCTCAAGAGATCCGCTGTCACTGGCAACACGGATCAAAAGCAAGAGGCGCAGCCTTTTCTGCACTACGAAACCAAAAAAACTCTTGTGCCTTCACGCCACAGCGGTCGAGGAGAGCTTTCAGCGATGCTGCCTGCAAGCAACGGAATCTTCACGTTTACAATAGGGTTTGAGATTCGGTGGTTTAGAGTTGGGATGTAGCCTGTTCATGGGTTTAGGGTTTGAGGGGTTTAGGGTATGGGGTTTTGGGTTTGAGATTCGAGGGTTTCGGGTTTGGGTGGGAGGGTGTTTAGGGGTAACGTGGGTTCAGGGGTTTAGGGTATAAGGGTTTAGGTTTGAGATTCGGGGGTTTCGGGTTTGGGTGGGAGGGTGTTTAGAGGTAACGTGGGTTTAGGGGTTTATTTGTACGGGTTTAGGGTATTCGGCTTAGGTATTTTGGTTTAGGTCTAAGCTAGGGGCTTTAGGGTTTAAGGACGTTTTAGGGGTTTAGGTTATAAGGTTTAGGGTTTTCACGGGCTTGGGGATAGCAAGGTGTTCAGGGCTTCTGGTTTGCGAGTTTAGGGTAGGGCTTAAGGTGAGTCGAAGTTTCGTCGAAATTTCGATCAAACTTCGACTCCTTCGGTGGTGCTTTTCTCACGGGGCATTGAAAATTTTCAATGCCCGGTAAAAAAGCGCCACCGAAGGAGTCGAAGTTTGATCGAAGTTTCGACGAAACTTCGATTCACATAGTAGAAGTTTCATCGAAACTTCGATCAAACTTCGACTCATGCAGTCGAAGTTTGATCGAAGTTTCGATTCCGAGCAGTCGAAGTTTGATCGAAACTTCTACTGCCCAATCGAAGTTGCATCGAAGTTTCGATTGCGAATCGAAGTTTGATCGGAACTTCGACTCATGAGTCGAAGTTCCGATCAAACTTCGACTCACGAGTCGAAGTTTCGATCAAACTCCGACTCGGAGCAATCGAAACTTCGATGAAACTCCGATTCACTGAATCGAAGTTTGATCGAAGTTTCGATGAAACTTCGACTCATGAATCGAAGTTTCATCGAAACTTCGATGAAACTTCGATTCAAAACCCAACTCATCCGGTGCCGCTTTCTGTCCGGGCACTGAATTTTTCAGTGCCCGGACGAAAAAGACCACCGGAAAATCACCCAGCCAGCACCACCCAAACACCACACACGACCCACCGCCCATTGCCCAACACCCACCACCACCTAGCACCCACCACTACCACCCAGCACCCAGCACCCACGACCAACCACCAACGACCCAGCACCCACGGCACCCACACCCAAAACCCGCCACCCACCGCGGCCACGAGCAACCATCCACGACCCACCGCCCACCACCCGCCAGCCACCACCCACCGCCCACGACCAACCACCAACGACACAGCACCCACGGCACCCACACCCACCACCCACCACCCACCACCCACCGCCCATCGCCACGTACCATCCACGACCCACCGCCCACCGCCCGCTATCCACCACCCACCACCCACCACCCACCACCCAACGTGTATATATATATATATATACATACATATACATATACATATATACATATATATATATATATATATACATATACATTGACATATACATATACATTTTTATTTATATATATATATATATATATATATATATGTATATGTATATGTATATATATGTATATGTATATGTATATGTATATGTATATGTAGATGCATATGTATATGCATATGTATATGTATATGTATGTATATGTATATGTATGTGTATATATGTGTATATGTATATATGTATATATGTATATATGTATATATGTATATATGTATATGTATATATATATATATATATATATATATTCATATATATATATATATATATATATTCATATATATATTCATATATATATATATACACACATATATATATATAAGATAGAAAGATATACCCTAAACCGTAACCCCCTAAACCCTGAACCCGCTAAGCCTGCCCTGAAAAGAACCCTGAAGAGTCCAGTGCCCCAAACCCTAAACCCTGAAAGCCATCAACCCTTAAACCCCCCTAAGCCTAAACCCTCCAAACCCTTAGGGTTTTAGGGTCTGTAAGGGTTTAAAATTTTAAGGTTTTTCCACAATAGCACTTTAGGGTATAGGGTTCGGGCTTAGGGTCTTTAGGGTATACCTGTTCTAAACCACAAAGGGGTCAGGGCACCCAAAGGGGTTATAGGGCTTAGGGTTTTTTTTTCGAGGAGCACACGTATGAGGATGCCGCAGGCTCCTTGAAGATAATGTAGGATAAGGAAGCCAGAGGCTCCTTAAAGCTAATGTACAATTAAGGAAGCCAGAGGCTCCTGTTTTGTGGCCGCTAGACAATATTTGTTTATCCTCAGCAGTCCTCCCAAGCCTTGAATTTTTTGCAGTAGATCTGTGAGATGTGTGCCGCCATGGATCCGGACATCATGCAGCGGGGAGGATCCAAACAAAGAGCTGCGAAACGTGCTGCACAAACTTCGGCAGCAGTTCCAGAACCCAGCCGATTGGCGACCCACCTTCTGCGGTCATTCGGCTGGGGGAAGATGTCTTTGCCAGAAGTACAGGTGGTGGCTGCACTGGTGGAAGAAGATGCATTGGAGCCAGTGAAAGCCGAGATTCGCATACTTGCCAATCTCGGCTCTCGGGGCCTATATCAGGGAAATCTCCGGAGAGACCTATTGAGGCACACTCAAATGCCTGCTCTTGTGAGCAGCAACGTGTGTGTGCCCATCAAGAAAGCTCTCCGGGCTGCGATCCCGTTTTTGGACCCTGTTGACGTGTTTCGGTCGCTGCAGCGACAGCCAATGGTCTTCCGTGAGTTATGCTGCAGGAACGATGGTGACATAGCGAACTTTTGGCGAGAGGTCGGCTCCTCGCACCCTGCACTCCTGCACCATCCCGTGAAGAAGATCAAGAACTACCAATCCAGAGCGGTACCGCTGATCCTGCACGGCGATGGAGTTCCGATTGACAGCAAGGACAGGTCTTGTGCTTTTATCTCTTGGAGAAGCCTGCTCTCCTCACAGACCTCTTCAAAGCTCGTCCATGTGCTGATAAGTGCTGTTTGGACTGAGCAGATCGTGGTGTCTTCCTGTGGCAACACTGTGGCCAGCATCTGGGGACACGTCGTTCGGGCCTTTGAACGATGTTTCGAAGAATGCAAGACGAACAATGACTTGTTCCCGGTGCTCCTTTTTCTGACTGGTGACTTGGAATGGTACAACACGAGTCACAACTTGCCACGGTGGAATTCCAACTTCCCTTGCGGGCATTGCAACATCAGCAAAGACAATATGTTCGACTACAAAAACGTGGCGGAGGTTCCTGTGGATCCATGGCACTGCCCTCGCCGCAGCTGCTGCCCTCTCCTGCGACACCTTGTGAGCCCCAGTGGTGTGATTCCGGACTGGATGCACAGCAAGCACCTCGGCTTCGACCAGCGGCTGGCTGGCTCAACGTTGTGGGTTCTCTGCTGGAGGATCCTTCCTGGCGGAGTAGAGGAAAACCTGGACAATGTATTGCTGCAGATGAAGGCTGTGAACTTTCCTTTTTTTCAGATAGGCTAGCTTAAGCTCCTCCTGTTTTTATATGTATAGGCAGCTTAAGCTCCTGTTGTTTTCAGATATGGTATAGGCAGCTTAAGCTCCTGTTGTTGTGAGACATGGTATATAAAAGTTGTAGTGTGTAGGCAGCTTCAGCTCCCCTGCAGGACTACTGGCGGCAGCACAAGGGCAATGGCATCAACTACATCACTCAGACCATGGTCCTGGCTGACCCACAGGATATTCACTGCAGAAAGGGATACCCTCGCTTGAAGGCCAAGGCAGCAGAAACTAAGGGCGTTATTGCAGCTTTGGCGAGCATCTGCCAACAGCACCTGCAACAGGACAACGAGGAGCACCAACAGATTGCCCTGGCTTTGAGTTTCAGCCGCGATTTGGACCAAATGGCAGATGGCATCGAAGACTGGAAGCCCTCGAAAGAGGTGGCGGATCGGATGATGCTCACGGCCGTTTGTCTCTTCCAGTGCATGACGATTTTGAATAAGTCCTTTCTGGAGCAGGGCCATCTGGCCTTCCAGTTGACATTCAAGACACACTGGTTTCTGCATGGGCTGCAGCTGGCGAGGCATCTTTCCCCCAAGCTGACTTGGACATACTCCGGCGAGGATTATATGTCCAAATGCAAGGGTCTCCTCAAGATGTGTACCAAGAGCCGGACGATGCTGACTTCGTTGGATCGTTTCATGCGGCAGTACACAGATGCCATGTCAATCGAACTGGCAGAGATCCTTGCACAGCCTGGACCGCCGCTCTGAGGAGAAAAAATGGGACCGTTCCTTAATTGCTGAAGGAAGCCTCGGGCTCCTCGTTCCTTAATTGCTGAAGGAAGCCTCGGGCTCCTCAGAGATTTTGAGCGCCTGCAGTTCTGAAGCAATCTAAGCCTCGGCCTCCTTGTAGGATCTTCAGGGCATGTCGTATCTGCTGCAGCCGTTTTTCAGCTCAAGCTCGCCGCTCGCCTCCGTAGTACAGCCATGGCAGACGAGGCCGAGCAAGCCGTTGAGGTCAAGGACCTCGTGGAGGCAGCTCTGCAGAAAGACGAGGGCGACCAAGCCGTTGAGGGCAAGGACCTCGTGGAGGCAGCTCTGCAGAAAGCCCGAGAGGAGGAGCTCGACCCAGAGGCTCGCAAGTGCAAAAGGGAACGGTGGGTGGGCTACCAACACGTGAACTTCCCCTGGCTTTCTACCGCCTTCCTCAACGAGGTGTTGCCCAACAGCTGGTTCGTTTCCAAAAGAGCTTGGGAAAAAGAAGCCTGTGTTGCCCGTCGAACCCTGAGGCTGTTGACTTGCCTCCGCTTCGGCCTCAAGCTACAGCAGCTGGCTGCCGGCAAAAACGGCGGGGCATGAGTGCCATGTAGTGGCTCCATGCTATAATTTAATGCACGTGTCATGACACATGTGTATATATGCTAGGGATCGAAGTCGCTGCGAGGGAAAAAAGGAGTGCATGAATCTATAGGAGCTGTAGTCCAGGAAGCCAAAGGCTCCTGAGGGATATTAAGATAGGCCAAGGGCGAGGAAGCTGCCAACTCGATCGCTTTAGAAATGCAATAACCAAGGAAAAGGCACAGAAGGCACAAATGCACCATATACTCAGAAAGGCTTCCATGAACCCCGCAAGCCAATGGGGTCCAGGAAGCCAGGCAACCAAGAAATCCAGGATGTGTCAGTCCTGGATCCGCACGGGACCGCCTCGTGAAGACGTGGCGGTCCCACCCATGTGCGAGGAAGCCGCCAGCTCCTAAAAAAAAAGGTAGCTTAGAAGCTCCTATAGGCATCCGGTGACACCATAGGATGTGCCCGCATGCATGGTTGTTGTATATATATTGTATGTTTTTCCCGTGCAGTTTTTTTAGTTTGCAGCTGTAGGACTCCTGCCATGGCACTGCCGACAGTTGGCGAGCGGCTGAAGGTGCTGCCGTCAGTGACTGCAGCTGCCCTTGAAAATGCCGTCGAAAAAGGGTTGCGGCAGATGGGCCACAACACACTCGGCATGCTGTGCAGAGGACTGGAGGAATGCTCATGGAAGACGGCCCTGGGCAAACACATCCAGGAGGTCGTGTTCCTCGCTCCGATCTTGAACCGTATCTTCGAGATCTGCACCAATGGCTTGATACCCCATGCCTTGCTCCAGACTGCTTTGCTCGGCCTGTTCAAGAGGGACATCCTGGTACTACAGGCTCCACAGCAGAAGTTGCCAGGCTGGGGGCGCTTATAATCTCATGATAGGTATAGCCTAAGGATCCTAAGACTCTAGTGCCTAACCCGGCCCCTAAACCCATAAATTCAAAGCCCTGCAGGCTGGGAAGACTCGTCGCTGCAGTACTTCAACCTGAGATTCAGAATGCTGGCCGGCAAGATTCGGGATGTTGCCACCGGCAAGGAAAAGATGCCCAAGAAACTCGACAAGCAGGCACTTCAACAGGTGCAGGCCCTCTGCTTGCAGATCAACCCGAAGTTCAAAATGGAGGACATGGTGCAGCCATCGGAGACAGTGCCGCTGAAAGGTGTACTTGCACTCCAGGACGGGCCAGCGAAGGATGCCGAGACGGAGCCTGCAGCAGCAGTCGTACCTGCACCTGTCACTCCTCCGGTGTCCCATACCCCCGCTTCTGGCAGCATGGGCTGCATGCCAAGGGCATCTGGAAGCATGGACTTCATGCAAAGGGCGACACAGCAAGCTTTGCAGAATGCCTGGGCAGCCTCTCCGGCCAAGCCCCTCACCAAGAAGCAGAAGGAGGCGGCTGTCCAGAAACGGCCTGCGAGCAAAGCTCCAGAAGCCTCGCCGAAGAAGCGGCCTGCTGCCAAAGATCCAGAAGCCGGCACAGCTGCCAAGAAGCAGAAGGAGTCTGTTAACCCTGCCCCTGTGCACGGCCGCGACGAGGAGGAGCTCTACCAGGAGGCGATCAGCACTATTATCTCTCAGGCCGTGTTTAAAGACACGGAAAGTAGGAACCACTACACATCTAGATTTTACGGCAAGGCGAAGAGGCTTGCTCTTGGCCACGGCTTGAGCAAAGAGAAGGCCGTAGAGTGGGCTCGCAAAGCCCACTCGAAAGGCAGCGAGCTCTGGGATGAAAAGTTTCACTGCGAGTGAAGTCCACTCGAAAGGAAGCCATGGGATGAGACTGCGAGTAAAAAGGAGTGCTGCATCTGGGGTTTTGGGGCAAATTATAAGCCAGAAGCCGCCTTAGGAAGCAGAAGCTCCTGAAGCATCCAGTCCAAGATTTAAGTCAGGAAGCCTTAAGCTCCTGAAGCATCCAGTCCAAGATTTAAGTTAGGAAGCATAAGCTCCTGAAAAGAATTCAAGGAAGCAAGAGCTCCTGGAGGAAAATCAAGGGCTAAAATAGCCTATGTAATAGTTTAAAATAGACTATTCAATAGTTTAAAATAGACTATAATAGTCTATTTAAAATAGACTATATCCTAGTCTATTTTTGACTATATATCTTATAATAGACTAATAGTCTATTTTAGGATATATAGTCTATTAACAGCCTAAGAAGATTCTTTGGGTTCTTACTTTTTCACGACATGATATTGGCTCGATGATCCTGCAGCGTTCCCAGTGACTTTGCACCGGTTCAGTGCGGGGGGGAGCAGCTGGCACATGATCTAAGGTTTCTATTTCTTCTACTACTACTACTACTACTACCACCACTACTATTACCGACATGCTCATGATGATGACAACGGCATCAATGACTTCGGGCACTGATTGAACATGTGATCGTGCCTATGGCCTACGTGTAGGGCTCCCGGGTAGTTATTCCAGCTGCGCAGCGAATCATCCACGATTGGCGGTCTGACTTACCTAGGGTAGCAGATCCGACCGCCATTTTTCTTGCAAAGACTGGCTCGGCCCCAGTAAAAGGATATGCATGCGGGATGCTTGCGCATACACACAGACAACGTAGAGGCACCGCAGCACTTAGCATGTGAGAGTTTGGAAACGCCAAAACGCGACATAACAAAATACACCAAGATATGACAGAGACGGTTAATTTCTAGGTGTATGATAATGTGCTAAATATGCCGAGAAAACCCTGAAAGCTGCATAGCCAGGGACCGTCAGATCATGACGATCGTCCAACGCAGTCAGGTACAAAGCCATATCTAACAGTGTTGAATTGCAGACCTTACAAAACGCAGAAAAACAACAGGCGCCCAATAATGGCATGATGCCTAGCACAATCCACCATGCATTGACGATGCACGCACGCTTTGCTGGCACTGCATTTGTTTATGAGGAGGCTGTGTGTTCGTCTGTGAGCACACCACTTCCTGCTGCACCTGCGCTTCTGAATTAAGCTGCCAGAATCGGTCAACAAAAGCTAGGTCGGTGCACCTGTCTGCTCCGTCAGACTATGCCCGTGATTTTCTGATCTCTCTCTGAGTTGTCCGATTGCATAAAAAGTGCGATCGGGCCTGGACAACAGATAATGAAAGCGAGACAATGAGAGAGATTGTGAGACAAGGTGGTAAAGAGATATATTGATGTATGCTAGGTCTCGACTTCCGTCAACATATGCTAGGTCGGTGCACTTGCCTGCTCCGTCAGACTATGCCCATAATTTTGTGATCTCTCTCTCTGAGCTGTCCGATTGCATAAAAACAGAGATCGGATGGCATTACATTTGATGCTTGGAGCCGAAACCCCTCGATAATGGTTCCAGGTTTGCCGCCTCAGGGTCCCACCGAGTGGGAATGCACATCCACTCCCCTGCTGGAGGAAAACCTGACGACAGGTCGAATCAGTCAACTCAGGAATACACTAAACCCTCAACTTAAGTGGTTTAGGGCACTGTTTTGCTGAAGCTGGTAACCTGTAGTACTATAGAGGTTCGACTCCAAAGTGGGTTCAGATTTTTGGGCTGAGGCCTGTTTAACCCATCGACGATGCCAAGTCGCTGCGGGTGTAGGGGACCGACTCGCCCTTTGGATTTCTGTACCTTTCCGACTCAACAGCCGGTCCAGGGTTAGGGTTTAGGGTTTGCAGAAGGCCTGCGTTGCTTGAGCCCGTGGCCAAAGTGGTGGGGGTGCAGGCCTGTGCAGAAGGGTTTGGTTATGTTGTTCTGGCCTTCCAACTGATTTTTGATGCGGAGGCCGATGCCTTGGCCAAGGAGTTGCAGTTGGCACGTCCCACCGTCCAAGCTCTTCTCACGTAGCGTCCCCAGACTCATCTCTTTGCCTGATGTTATTATTGGTGCAGACTACTGATGTGTCCTTGCTGAGGCAAGGCAAAACAGACCCCTGCATTTACTGGAGAGATTGTTTGCAGCACTGGGGCAATGGCAAGAAACTGCCTACCCTGAGCAAAGCCGACTTTCGCCTGCAACTTCAGACTTCTTGTAGCTACATGACCTGCTGGGACCCTCGTTGTCAGTTGCTCTGGCAAGGTGACGTTCATGGATGTGGCGTGGGAGAGTTCAAGCGAGATTGAGCAAACATTCTCGATCCTTCGGCTCTTCTCATCCGGGAGAAAGGCTGGTACGCAGACGGATTTGTTGAGGGCATTGTGCAAGGTCATCTCTGATGCACCTACTCCTCAAGATCTTGCTCCATTCACACGAGCAGGCTCCTCATCGCCTGAGTACACCGTCACCGACCTCGTACGAAGGGTTCAGCAGAGATACAGAGAGGTCCATGGATCTGCTGCCAATCGTCCCAAAATCAAAGGTGAATCTCGGCTTCCAAGACGCAATCTGGTTGAGCGAAAGAAGGACAAGGGATTCGCGGCCTTGCAGCGTAACAGGGACAGCTTGATGTCCGATTTGAGAGAACAGCTCCCGTGAACGTAAAGCTCTTTCTTCTTGCAAACTGTGCGTTGCAAAGCCAAGACGGGCCGCACAACTTGCTCTGTGGAGGAGCAACAATCAAGCCATTCAGGCCCGGCCAGAAAGCCTCCCAACATCCTTGACATTAAGATGTGGCTTAAGGAAATGTTTCCAGATGCCGAAGGTCTGCCATGGATGATTGCCGATTCGTCGTCGCTGCTGCATGCTAGCCATATCAAGTGCTTGAAAAGCAACATTGCATTCAGCAACTGTTCCTCAGGTTTGAAGATGTACATCTTGGAACCGAGCTTCTGAAGTGTCTTCTGCACAGCCCTGCTGGGCTCGCTCGGAACCAGCAAGATAATGGCGACCAAACTTTTGTCCAGAAATAGCCGTTGTTCAGTGGTAGCTTGGAGGTCTCGCCGGGTCAAGGGCACTCTGTCTTCATCCTCTTTCTCAGCAAGCTTCAGCTTCTTCCGGGCCTCCTCGTCGCCATCGATCAAAGCTTCCATGAGCTTCCTCTTCAGCGAAGCTTTCGCTTCAAGCTTTTGCTGCAAAGACACATGCTTCTTTCCAATGGCCTGCTTCGACGCCTTGGCCGTCTCGGACTCCATGGCATCCAATGTCGCGGCAGATACAGGTTTCGTGCTTAAGGAATATACTCTAAATTCTAGTAGGCTTCCTAGTATGTTTTAACGAATTTTCCTTAATTAAACGCTTTTGGAATGTCTTTACTACATGAAAAGCTTGAGCTCTAGGGCGCGCCGAGGAGCTTCAGTTCCAGGCACTGTCTCACCGACACTCCATCACACTGATCCTGAGTCAATCGCGCCCCTCTTAGGGATTGCTGGGTGTAAGGTTTAGGGCTTTAGGGCTTTAGGGCTTTAGGGTGTAGGGTTTTAGGTGTAGGGATTGGGGGCCAGTGGTGTAAGGTTTAGAGTTTAGGGTTTTAGGGTTTTTAAGGCCTTTACGGGGTCGGCAGTATCACAAGCAACTGAGCTCACTTCGCTGCGCTTGTTCAGGTGGCTTGACGACGAGGTAACCTGCCAGGTTTCTCCGGCGACACAGAGCTTCCGGGAAATGTTATGCTGTTATACGATAACTATAGTTATAAGAACATGCAAAAGCTAGAATTTGCCAAACTGAAGATGCCTGAACCTTACAGCCCCTAGGTTGCAGTCTGGCGAGATGAGGTGCCTCCGTCCGCTTTATCGTTGCATCCATGGGCAGGGCTTTGCTGCTCTGCGCAGTGAAGCCGGTGCCTCAGAGAACCAGTCAGAGTGCTTGCCGTTGCTTCAAGAGCCATGGTTATAGGCTCAGTGATCCACCCCAAACCTGAAACCCCCTAAACTCTAAACCCCCAAACCCTAAACCACATTGGAGGGTTTGGGGTATAACGCAGCAGGTCTGCAAAGGCGGCTCTGAGCGGCCTTTTGCCGACCCCTACGTTAACACCCCTTAAAGGAGCCCTTAAAGGATCCCTTCAAGGAGCCCTTGCAGTTGGAGGTCCTCCATGGCACACTTCAGTGGTCAATTAGTCTAGTCTTGTCATACACAGGATGTCGAGGCCTTAGTGATAGGAATAGGGTTTTGAGTCTACGCCAGTCAGTCATTCCGACTGCATGAAAGAAGGCTCCTGAGAACTCTCACACTTATCGCCACAGGGCATCCTCAATTTCAACTCCCAGAGCACCGAAGCCCAAAAACGAAACAATGTAGACTGTGGGGCTGAACTACCCTTCCCCGAAAAAGGTTAACCATTCCCCCGAGGGTCCAAGTACTCCCCATTACAGGACTTTAGGGCCTTTTTAAGTACCAAAAACTCATAAATAAGGCCTTGAGGCCCTTGCCAGTGAAGCTTTGTCCTCGCCGACATGCATCTGCGGAGATGCGAGATGTAGCAACCTGGAATCCGCTCTAAGCAACTACCCCTTCAGCGTGGCTGTCCGACCCAAACTCGAACCAATGGAAGATCTTAGCCCGAAACAAGTCACCGGCCATGCCTTTGAGACAACACGAAATTAGAAACTAAGCTGTGCTCGGACAGCAAATCGCCAATGACGGGAGACGTAATCCTCTTTGGAGAGAGGAAGCTGCTCATCGCCATGCTGTCTCCATATGGGCTTGCTGCTCACCTTGCTTGGCCGAGCAGCTGAGAGGCTTCGAGGAAAACCCCTGAGTCAACAGTACTAATCTAGGGGTCTTAATAATTAGAATATGGTTTTGGGGGTGATGCAGGCGAAAGCCTAGGGCTTTGGGGTATATTATACTGTACTGATAATAAGGACCCCCCCCCCCACACACACAATAGTATAGCTAATTATTTAGGCCCCTATACTAAGCGGTCGTTTTGAACCTGTCCTAGGGCCGGGGAGGAGATAGCGTTCTCCGAGCAGCTCAAAACTATGTTGATGCAAGTGATGCGTTTAGGGTTTAGGGTGTACATGTTTGATCACAGGCTTGTTGCGACCTCACCCGGCTAGTGCATGGTGTAGCTTGTATCCGTAGAGGTAAGGTGCTCGATGTGGACTTGCTGAAACCCACACAGCAGATGAGGCCCTCAACCCAGACTCCCGCAGCCAGGAAATCTGAAATATCTGCGACCGGAAACTGTAGCCCCGGACCGATATTCCCAAACCTGTGTTGCAATTTAAGGGCCTTAAGGGGCTTTTGACATATTCATGATGAAGTACCTGTATAGGAACCATAAGGGGAATCTTAAAATTTGCTAATGTACCACCTAGGAAAGCTGAGGTTTCAATTTGTTACGTTCATTTAAACTTGAACCGACGAAATTGGAAGTGCAACGACAAAGGCTGAATTTCTGTCAGCCGAAAGACTTCCTATAGGCCCCTCGATGACTACTGATATTCTCCTTCGGGCCCTGATTGTAGTGATACTGCGATATACCCCAGACCCGCACAGTAGTTAAGGCCCCTACAGTATCGTCCTCGCTGAGAAGCAGACAAAGGAGTTTTACAGCACCTTCAGCCTGAATGTCCTGCAACGCCCACACGGACTGAGCCCATGGCTGCAACCGGCTCAAACTTGCCAGCCTTCCGCGACAACTCGGGAAAAGACAGCAAGGAAAGAACCTGTTATCGTGAACCGGATACAGAGAGACATACATCCAGTCAGGCCGAAACACTGCCAGAGACAAGAGAGACACGCCGACAAGCAGAGATGAATGTCTGAAGGATTTTGTCATGTGGTTCTGCATCAAGTTGGAGTTTCACAAGGGCTTAGGTTTCAGCTTATTGTTTTACTGGCAAACATGCCTCCAGCTCTGCGATTCGGAAGTGCTCTCGGCTGACCTGAGGCTGGAACACAGGAAAAAGGCGTTTCGTGGTTTAGAGTTTAGGGCTTTGGGCAGGCAAGTGGTGGGCTCGTGCGGTACGCGACCTTTGCTGGCGAGGTGCAGGCTGTGAGGTGCTTTTAGTTTGCCAATCGGTTGAAGGGCCAGGTGTTCCGCCCACCAAGCCCTGAACCCCCGCGTGCCAAACGCCACCCGAAAGCCGGCGTTTTTCTTGGGGCTCCTTGATTCAAGTATAGTATATTAGTACAGTATGCCCTGCTTCTTCAGTCCATCCAAGGTCCCTACCCAGGCAAAGTCCAAGCACTGGTACTTCTACCAGCAATGCTTCTAGTAGAGTTTGTCGATTGAGCTTGCAACTGAAAAGAAGCCGAGCAATCATCGACTCTCCCCAGATGACACACAACTAAAACGCCACAAGCACAGGACAAGGTTTGTTAATGCTTTAGGGTTTTGGATCCGTACTCCTTGCTTCAGACCCATGAAACTGTGAAGTCTTTTCCCGAACTGGCCGTCTGTGACCCTTGCGCTATAAAAGCCAGTAACATATCCTACACGACCCTTCTTGCAGAAATGTCATTTTTACCTGGGCTCCGGGCACCGCTGCAAAACAGCCGATCCATCTCGCGGCAACGGTCAGAGAAGCCCTGCAGGCAAGTCCATCGCTTTACGTCGGGGCTGTGAGTGTACTATAGGGGCCTTTATAATTAGAACAATTAATTAGGGTTTTGGGGTCCATTATACTATGATCATGAGAGCAGCAGCCCAGGCAGAACAGTGCCCGGGTTGATTCAATGCCAGGCCAGAGTTTACCGTGTTAGTGCAAACATCAACGATATTTGCACTCTACTGACTCTACTCTCTTCCCCTGGTTTCCTTGGGCCCCGGGGTGCAGTGGGCGAGAGATACGTTGTTTGACTATACTCCCGAAGCCCGAAGCCTACATCTTCCGACCTCGACCTTGGCCTTCACCTCTTCTCTGTGTACTATAAGGGGCCTTTATAATTAGAATAGGGGTTTGGGGCAAATTATACTATGTACACTATATTTAAAACAAGGAACTCCCAAAATGGTATTGGTAATTAGTTCGGGCCCTATATTACTTCCTACACTTGGATGCCGAAGAACTTGCTAGCACCTGCTGCTCGAGCGAGATAAAGAAGATAATGTAGTATGCACCGTATATACATAAAACTATTACAATATATCTATGTATATACACATAGAGAGAGAAACATATATTGATATTGATATAGATTATATAGATAATCTACAATGTAATATTATGGGGCATGGATCCGAGGACGAGGCCCTGACCCTGTGAGCCGCGTGTGGGCACAAGGTTCAGGGTTTAGGGTCCATGGTATTTTGACACTCACACTCGGACGGTCCATGGGGCTTAGGGTTAGGGCTTGGGGTTTCGGCTTCCGGCTATTATCATCTGGTAGCCCTGGTGTGCTTGAGTTGATGGCTGGCTCTACTCATTCCGGCGAATGTTGACTAATCAGCACCACGGGGCTCCAACACGATGGACTCTGCATGCGAGTTCTCCAGGCTTGCTTGTCATGAGCAATACTCACTGGGAAGTTTCCGAAAACATGGGACCCCAGTATAGTACCCTGTATAATAGCATCGTTATTGTAAGGACCCCCCAAATAGGGTGCCTTTGATTTTCGGACACTCCCATTTGCAGAATTTTTAAAAGCAGTTTTCGGCGGCCCTTCGCACTTCCAGCTCCATCGAGGAGGACTTCGATTTCCCAGAGGATCGAGATGAGAGGGCACGCAAGGGCATCTCGTCGTTAGAAGGTAGAATGCAACGTGCACATGGGTAGTTCTCCAAATTAGGGTCCCTTTTTAGGTCCCCCAAGCAGCACGGCACCCTTACAAAAAGCACTCTAAACGGAACCTAATTTGGAGAACCACCCACATGAACAACAACGAGGGGCCACAGCTCCAACGACGAATCAAGTCCAAGTGGCCTGTTCTTCACGTGGCTGAAGCAACTGCTAGTTGGATCAAAACCAGAAACAGTGCTGGCATGTGCTTGAAGTACATGCATTTTCACTGCAGATCCTCAATTTTAGGATCCCTATTCCAAGGACCCCAAGATATAGGACCCCCTGTTGTCGGAAACTCCATGCTATACTAGACGCAAGAGTAACCCAGGAATAAAAAGGGTGCCCTGTTTGGTTGAAAGGGGCTGGTAAGGGAACCTGAACCCTAAAAAAGGGAATAAGGGCTTACTCTGGGTCCTAGTATAAGACTCCAAGGGTCCAAGTACCCAATAATCATATACTCTCCGAAATCCCAACCTACAAAACTACTATCCTAAAACAGAGTACCCAATTATTGGGTCCTTTGGACCCTTAGGGTAAGACTTAACAAGGCCTGCAGGCGATGGTGAGGCGGCAACGAAAGTCGCTCCGGGTGCCCTGGCAAAGCCAAATCTCGTACACTGCCATTATTGCTACTGGTACTTCTACCTGGACCCCAAAAGTATGTAGAAGAATCGCCTTTTCTAGGTTTTGGGTTCTTCTGCGTTTGGGAAAAAGGGGGGGGGGTGACCTTCTTGGAGGTTCATGGGTAGTTATACGTGGGGTTATAAGTGGGGTAACTATAGTTATAACTCCGATTAGGGGACTTATAACCCTACTTATTACTACCCATGAACCTCCAAGCACTAATACTTCTACCAGCAATGCTTCTAGTAGAGTTTGACGATTGAGCTTGCAACTGAAAAGAAGCCTGGCAATCATCGACTCTCCCCAGATGACACACAACTACAACGCCACAAGCACAGGACAAGGCTTCTTATGCTTTAGGGTTTTGGATCCGTACTCCTTGCTTCAGACCCATGAAACTGTGAAGTCTTTTCCCGAACTGGCCGTCTGTGACCCTTGCGCTATAAAAGCCAGTAACATATCCTACACGACCCTTCTTGCAGAAATGTCATTTTTACCTGGGCTCCCGGCACCGCTGCAAAACAGCCGATCCATCTCGCGGCAACGGTCAGAGAAGCCCTGCAGGCAAGTCCATCGCTTTACGTCGGGGCTGTGAGTGTACTATAGGGGCCTTTATAATTAGAATAAGTCATGACGGTTTTGGGTCCATTATACTATGATCATAACAAGGAACCCCCAAAATATGTTGGTAATTATTCAAGCCCCTAAGTGCTTCTGCTTTCTTGGCGGCCTTTCCAGTCTCGAACTCCCATCCGAAATGGGGGGAGTTCCAGCTTCCACGAGCGAACCCTAAACCGTCAAACCCCGAACCGTAAATCCCAAACCCGAAACCCTGAAAACTTAAACTCCAAATCCAAGAACCCTAAAGCCTAAAACCCGAACCCAGATCCTTGAACCCTAAACCTTAAACCCGAAGCCCTTTGGCTGAGATGACCAGCTTGCTTAGGGTCTCCCCGTGCCTCAGAGGTGCCGATCGCTGGAGGGGCGCTGAGATGAGGGTAGTATACCCTAAGGCTCCACAGTAGTTCCTTTTGGGGATTACCTTTTAGGATTCTAAATATGAACCCCAAAAAGGAACTACTATGGAGCCCCTAGGCAGAGTACAGGGGCCTTAACACTCAGGACAGCTTGGGGATAGTGTAGTGTAGGTGTAATGGGAACTCTTAAGGTAATGCTGGGAGGGTGCAAGTCTCCGCGCGTACGTGACGTGTCCAGCAAAACTCTTAAGGTAATGCTGAACTCTGAGGCCTTGAACCTGCAGCCCTGCAAAACCTTCGTCTGCAGTACCGGTGTCTACACCTGCCAACCCCTCTCTGCCCCTTGTACAAATGCTGAAATCTTTGTATGCCCTAAACTGTAACTAAGCAGTCACAGCATCCCCCCTCGTGCCTCCGGGCGTCCCGTCTCAGCGTCGGCGCCAACGGACAGAACTCGATGAGCTTTCATCTCCATGATCCCCCAGCTGTGCTATGGTTTTACTGTTGCTGGCCCCCCTAGAAGTGCTCATCTCGAAAATCCAAAAGCTTTCATGTCATCTCAAATTCAGATCCCCTACCTGCCAAGAGGTTGAAATTCTTGCTGTACTATTATTGATAAACTCTTTACCCCCAAAACCCTTGCCATCTCCGGCTACCCACTGCCAGTTCGGAACGCTCACAGTTGTTGCTATCTTGCCCTCCTCACCAAGCTAACATATAACCGCTATGTATGGACCAAACCGATTGCAAAGTTATCACAGAGGTGGCGGCCGTGTTTCACTTGTGAATAGTACGGCCCAAGACATGCAAAGGCTACCCGCCTACCCTTCTCTGAATGGGCAGCAACATCAGCGCTTGGGGTATGCACTTGACATGGGGCCTTTGGGAGCTACTTACTTTTTCACGACACGACACGTGCTCGATGATCCTGCAGCGTTCCCAGTGACTTTGCACGGGTTCACTGCTGCAGGGGGCAGCTGGCACATCATCTAAGGTTTGGAGTTTTGTGCTAAAGGTTGGCCGGGGAGAGGCTTTCAATGTCAGGGGTTCTTGTGCCGCACAGTACTATGGAACCTTGAACGAAAATCGACGAAAGCGGAGACAGCACGTCTCAGGCTAGTGTGGCAAAGACCCTCGCCGGCGCCTGGCGAACGACAGGTGGAGAACGTAGTACATCAGCACCGACATGCACGAACCACGCATGTACATTACATGTACAGCGGATTCGGGGATGATGCTTAGTTCTCTCAATTCTCGCAGTTCGTACAGCATCGCACTGCCTTTCTGTAGGGAAATGACGTGAACCGGAGCCCTGTTTCCGTGTGAGGGGCAGCTACTGTAGAGGCGCAGAGTTTTTGAAGGGTTCACACGGTTCACAATTGAAATATGCTCATTGCAGTCTCAGTAAGGATAAAGCTCGCTATGTGCATGCTGACCAGGTCAAGGTTCTGTGCTTGTTTGACAGCAAATGGGAGTTTCCGAAAATAGGGGACCCTAATATGGTACCCTAAATAGTAGGATCCTTATTATAGGGACCCCAAAGTAAGGTACCCCTAATTTTCGGAAACTCCCAAATCTCAGCAAAGTTCTGCCATCTGACTACCCATTCTGGTCTTAATCTCCCATACTCAATTTCGGTTTACACCACCGACACATGCAAACCACGATCATCACCATCACCTGTATTGCACGCAGCAACATAGTCATCGTCTCTGCCACCACAAGCACAGCAGGGACAGACCATGACTATTCCTGATCCGGAACACCTCAGTTAAGGTTAACCTCCGCATGATCCATCCTGTCCACATTACCTTGTTTCTTGATGAACAATTAATCCTCATGCTAACTTGTATGGTAAGCCAAGCGACAAACGCTACACTTGGGTACTGCCCCCCGTGCGGTAACAGTCTATAATAGTGCCACTAACATGACCATCACATACCTCCTACCTGGTCCTACCGTTCTAAAACTCAAGAGGGTCCCACAACACCCTGCATTCCCTGTCAATCCTGTGAATCCCTGTAAGCACCCTAACAGTACCTGAAAACAACTTTTGCGCTTCTTCAAACCACCATAAAACCTCAAAAATCTATACAAGACCTTACTGCATGAGTAAATCCCTACAGCAGCCCTATACAAGTCCCTTTAAAGGGAACCCTCTTCTAGAACCCTATAGTACCCTTAGAGGTTCTCACAAACCCAAGGGTCCTATGTACCGATATAGTAGAATGTAGGGTTTCCATATTAGGAATTAGGGAAGTATCTCCCATAAGAGTACATAGGACCCTTTGGGAAGAGACTTATAACCTTAGTTACTAAGTCCCATATAGTACCCTTGTAGATCCCTTTAAGGAACCCCTTTTAAGGATCCTTTAAAAAACGAACCTTCCGAGCCTCCGGCGCTCCTCGAAGCGCCGTCGGGGCCACGGTGACCCGCGCGCCGCGCGCCGGAAGGCCCTCGAGGTTCAAGTTTTCCACGATGTACCTTAGGGTTTAGGGTTTAGGGTTTAGGGGGTTTAGGGTTTCAGGGTTTAGGGTTTAAAGGCTTAAGGGTGTATAGGGTTTAAGGGTTTATAGGTTTAAAGGTTTGGGGTTTAAAGGGTTTGGCGTTTAGAGGGTTTGGAGGGTTTAGGGTTCAGAGGGTTTTCCATGATGTACCTCAAAAAGCTTTCTTAGGGGTCTTTAAGGGCTCTTTTAATGGGATCTGTCAAGGGTCCCTGTACGGGCTCCTTTACGGTGCCTTCGGGCTTTCCACGATGTACCTCGAAAGGGTTAAAGGCTAAGGGTTTTGGGTAAAATGGTGCTTCGAGGGCCTTCAAATAAAGGGGTTCCTGTACAGTAGAAGCCCCACAAGGAAACTCAAGAGCCTCAATCCTTAAGAGTCATGTAAAGGGAATCCCAGCACCATGTGGCCTTAATCTGGTTTCAACCTTTATGGGGTTTACTGTAAAGGGTTTGGGGTTTTAGGCCTGGGCCTACAGGCGTTTTACAGGGTTTTAAAGCGGTTGGGGGATTTGGGTGTTGATAGGTATCTATAGGGTGTTATACGGTGTCATGGGGCTTGTTGATAGAGTAGGCCCAGGGGTTCAGGAGGTTGGCTCAAGTTCAACTACATCCCTCGGGTTTCATGCCGACCTTATGCACACCCTCAAGCCCTCAGCCCCGTACACCCTTAACCCTAAACAACTAAAAACAACAAACCTAAATCCTAAACCCTAGCTCCTCTATAAGGCTTCGTCTGAGGGGCCTTTGTATGGGCTCTTCTGAAAAATCTGCCTCACTCGTGGGTGTCTCGGGTCATGTTCAACGGCTCAGGCACTGAAGGAGGCTTAATAATTAGAATAGGGTTTGGGGATATTTTTCTTTATAATGACGATAAGGAACCCCCAAAACCCTAATTACTCCAATGGTTAAGGGCCCTACATGAAGGCTTTCTGCCGAGTGGCCGATCAGCTCCCAACACTGCATGGTGAGTCTTGAAGCCTGTCGCAGTGGCAGCATGACTGCATGCGTCTGTTGCTGCATGCAGGGTATGCATGTAAGTTGCATCCCGAAGGTGCCTGCAAAGGTGCAAGATAATCTCGATGCATTCAATGCAGGTAGGAGTCAGACTGGCCTAGCCCTACGCCTAAAACTCCAAACATATTTGGAATAGAGTTCCCTTAGAGGGTTCCTTCAAAAGGTGTCTATAATGCGTGCTATGAAGGTTCTTTGGTTTAGGGGCCTTAATAATTAGAATAGAGGTTGTAGTTATCTCCAAGTTTTCTTCCACTGAACTCCCGCCTTCACTGGCTCCAGCATCTGGCGAAAGCGTGTCCACGCCCAAGCCCACGATCTCCCTGTTCCTGGGCTTTGAAGGGTCCCTTTAAGGGACTCTATAAGGGTATAGGGTTTAGGATTCTACTTGGAGGTTCATGGGCAGCTATAAATGAGTGATAATTAGGGCAGCTATCGTTATGACATAACTCTTGCTAAGGGACTTATAACCGAACTTACAACTACCAATGAACCTCCAAGTAGGGTTTAGGGTTTAGAAGTTTGGCTTTAGGGTTTAGGGTTACCAGGGAGAACCAAAGTCGAAACTCTTGTCTCATACTGGCTCCTTTACTCATAATTATTCCTTTGAAGAACAAGTCAAAACTAAGTACTCAAGTATGGTCATGTAGGAACCTTAATAATTAGAATAGGATTTCGGGGGCTCCTTGCTGTAGGTACAGTATCATGTACTCCAAGCTCTATTCTAATCATTAAGGCCCCTATATCATAGAACCTTCGTGGCAACCCTTATATACCCCTTTTGAAGGAACGCGCTGAGGGAAGCCTATTCTAAATATTAAGGCCCTTATTTTCCAAAACCCAGGTCCTAGGGCCTTGAAACTTAATTATTAGAATGGGGTTTGGGGTATGTGATACTATCGTTATAACAAGGAGCCCACTAGAATTATGAGGCCCCTACACTCGAGAACCCAGGTTCTGCACCAGCCACTCTGCTCCCTGAGCAGAGACACCGGGAAAGTGCATGCGGGGAAGCTTGTAGTCAGGATGCAGATCCTGCGCAGAAGGCTGGGTTTAGGGTTTTGGGTTTGGGGTGTTGTTCAGGAGTTTAGTTTTCGTTAGCGTCATAAGCGTCATAGTGAAAAATACTGTAGGGTTTCCACAGTTGTTCTGCTAACTTGAAGAAACTTTCTCATCAAGGACCCAGGAGGGTGCCATCAAATGCAGCAGCGGGGAACCCTCGTGACGGGCTGCAGCTGTTAGCCTCTGGAGGTGCGATGACTAGGAAGAACCCAACGACTGCCAGCCATGTCTGTGAAAGTTGCTTGTACTTGGAGGTTCATGGGTAGTTTTGTCTGAAATCTATGGTATTCTGGGTTGAGAATGTGCACGATGTTGTCGATCGATGTCTTTGCTCCGTACACGAGACGCTTGAACCTCACGGGCGCTGATCTCGCGATGTCGTGTCAATGTGCCCTGAGATTCAGATTTTGCTGCTATGTAACAGTCTGCTAAGGCTTAAACCCCACCCGAAGCCCCAAATGTACAACAGCATGCTTGTCTCGTCTGGCATTTTAACTGCGTCACACTTTTACCTTGGTGTGTTGACGTTATACTTTGTCTGGCTCTCTCTCTCTCTCTCACTCTCTCTCTCTACCCTAAACCCCAAACCCTAAAGCCTAACCCCTAAACCCAACCCTCTAGTCCTTACTAAACTCCCTTAAACCTAATTCAGACACGCCCTAGATCCGAAGCCCTGGCCTCTTCGCATCCTTTGCCATGGTAAACCTGGGCTTTGAAGCATGCAGAAAGAAGTTACAAACTGTAAGGGTTCTCTGAAAGGGATCTATAAGGGTTCCTTTAAAGTGATCTATAAAGGGGTCCTTCAAAAGGATCTGTAAGGCTTTAGGGTTTATAGGGCTTCGTGTAGCCCCTTTGTAATAAGGGTGCCCTTTTCCTACTATTCGGTTTAATAAGGGGGCCCTGAAGCAAAAGAACAAAAGGGTACTACACGTGAACGCAGCTTCTTAACTTAGAAGCCCCTTACAGGTGGGTAGTTCTTCTTCCATAGTACTCCCATAAGACCCCCTTTACCTTATAGGAGTGGTATGGGAGGCTTATGCGAAACTACCCACCTAATAACTACCCACCTGTAAATGGCTTAGATAACTCGTTGTCATAATGAGATCTTGAAGAGAACAGGCCCCCAAAACAAACAAGAAAAGTATACACCCTAAACCCCCCAGAACCTCGAAACCTAAACTTTAAACCCTAGACCCTGTAAAACTGAACCCAGAAAGCCTTTAAAACTAAACCCCAAAGCCCTAAACCCTAAACCCCCAAACAAACCCTAAAACCCTATACACTTCAACCCAGAAGCCGTCCAGGGCCCGGGACATCCCTCGCGCAGGCTGGTCTCGGCCTCTCCGGTTTCTGAAGGAAACATGTAGCTCTAAAGGTTTCCCTAAACCCTAAACCCTGATCGAGCTGGTGCTTACATCGTGTGGCGTGCTGCCGAGGGATAGGCAGTCTCGAGAAGTCACGGGCCAACATGAGTTGCCACGATGGCTAGTAGCGGCATACCCCTTAAATAGTCCCTATGATACACATGTTCTTCTATAGTATACCTATAGTACACCTACACTACACCGACAAAATCAAATGCGGAGAAAACGCCTGTGCTACACCTATAACTATGATTATACCCAGCACCCTTCGTTTTCTACTTCTGAAGCTATCTAAGACTGTAGTACACCACGCTTCCTGGCAGTGCTCCAACCCTATCGACCTGGCCTCTCTATGTCGCGCTGCCCAGCCGGTTCGAACGCAGACGAGGCTTCCTGAAACCAAGTGGTCAAACTCCAAGATCTGTGAAAGCCCCAAACCCTAAACTCATAGGGACCCTTAGGGGGGGGGGGGGGGTAGGGGGAGGGGGTAGGGGACTATACTTCCTGAACTAGGCCTTATTAAGTCCTTATTATAGGTAGGTATCAAGGCCCCCCACCCCTCTCCCCCCTACCCCCCCTAAGGGTCCTTATGATAAACCTTAAAACTCTAAACCGTAATCGTTATTAGTCTGCAACGGAGAACTCCTGGAAGAATGCGACCGTGAAGCTCTTCGTCTGCAGTGAACTCCTCTCGACTTACCTGTCACCATGTGGGCGAGCCCAGGGAATCAGGGGTTTAGGGGTGTTGGGATTCAGCGGTTTAGGAGCTTAGGGATTTAGGGGCTTAGGAGCTTAGGGATTTAGGGGCTTAGGGTTTGGGGGTTTAGGGTTCTAGGGTTCAGGGGTTAAGGGTTTAATATGCATGATGGAGCTGGCTGACATTGATATGCTGAATCGGCAAACATGCGAGTGCCGCTGAACAAGCCTACTTGGAGGTTCATGTCTAGTTTTTAGTGAGTTGTAAGTAGGGTAACTATACTTACGACAACTCCCATCAGGGTACTTGTAACCCCACCTATAACTACACTGTGTAGTTATAGGTGGGGTTACAAGTGCCCTAATGGGAGTTGTCATAAGTATAGTAACACATGAACCTCCAAGTAAAACCCAAGGACCTGGTGGTCTGGATCTGCACTGCACGCAGTCGAAACGTCTACCACAGCCAAGGGGACGTCCACGAGCTCATTCAACTGGAGCTGGTCGATAGTACGTCCACCTTGAGGCTGGGGTTCGGTAGAAAACCATGTGTATACATGTTAGGGCTTAGGGCTTACAAGTTCAGGGTATAGGGTTAGGGTTGTCGCAAACACTCACACAACGCAGTGCGGCGCGTCACATGCAGATACCCTTCGCCGAAGGTGGCCGCGCCTATGTAAACCCCAAGCCCTAAACCACACCTGCAATGAAGTGCGAGGGCGCATCCACGTGAGTGCCCGTTCCACCATTCAGCTCGAAGGCTTGCTTCCCACCTTGGCATTAGGGTTTGGGGTCTCGCCGCTTCATTCTCGCTCTCGCATCAACTTCGAGTGACAAGCATTCCTTAGTCTTCATTGTAATTCCTTATTAAGTTTAAGCGGCTATGTAACTATTAAGCTCTTACTTACAAGCGTAACCCGAAATGAAAGAACTACAATGGCGACTGTAGGGATGGACCCAAAACTCCTCTGCCAGGGGGCGCGCCAGAGGCGGCTCGGTCGTCTCCGGCGACCGGATCACGGTGCGACGAAGGGCGCAGACGGTGGGCCAAGAGGGCGAACACTCATCCAAAGCCTGACTGTGGATTAGGGTGTGAGGGCATTCAACTTTAGATTAGGGTTTAGGGGTCTTGGAAAAGCATGCTTGGATTCTGGTTGCTTGCAATGGGTACGGATATCCAGGAGCACCTCTGTTTCTTCTTAGGATCTGATCATGATGCCGCAAAATCGGTTCTCAATTGGAAGGAAGGATGGGCCTGGGACTTGCCTGCAAGGTGGAGACGTGGTCCACTGTCGATACGCTAGTTCGGGTGTTTGGCCCTAAACCCTAAACCCCAAACCGAAAATGCTCATCGAACTACACGTTAGCCACCAGCATGTTTGACGCATTATGCGAAGCACCAACGGAAACACGAGGTCACCTCCAAGCGCCCAACCATCATGAAGAGCGAACACTAAATCATGTACTACCACCGTTCTGCTCCTCACTTACATAAACATTACTATGTTTCTATGACGACGATCAATGCATGTGCTTGTGTGCAAATTGTATGTTGTTTCACTATTGTCGCCAGTACCAGCCAGTATCATTGCAGCTCACTGCCAAACATGACTGCTAGGACCAAGACAACTACTTACGAATGTTGCTACCATCTCGATTACGAATACTGATGCTCTGACTCTTGCAAATCACTGGGCGTGGTCAAAGCCCCATTCTCATTCGTGGCACGGTTGCAGATTGTTCGTCTGGTAACGGCCGTTGACAGCACTGTCTGCGGGCACTGACCGCGTTATCTTGATGGTCGATATGTTCGATATGATCTGCCTATCGCTACCTCTGAACCTTCCGCAATCTCGGCCAAAGGACCCATCCGCAATCCCAGTGCTTTGCCATGGCTATATCGCAGCTTCAGAAACTTGAGTTGCGAGGGCTCGGTCTACGGGGAGCCTAAACTTAAACCGTACACCCTACCCTACAACCCTAGACACACTAAAACTGGGTAGGCTCAAGATCCCTAAACCTAAACCCTACCCTTCACCATGAACTACATAGGATTTAGGGTTTGGGGCTAACGCCTAGGATGGGAGTTCTTGTGACGTTGCCTGAATTTTAGGCTTCGGAACGAGAGTCCTGCAGACGGTTGACTGATCAGTGCTTGAGCCCAATAGCACAAAGTCTGGGTTTAGGGTTTAGGGTCGAGGATTCAGGGTTTAGGGTCTAGGGTTTAGGGATTGGTCTAGGATTTAGGGTTGAAGGTCTAGGATTTAGGTTTAGGGGTTGGGGTTTAGGCTTCTCCTCAATATCTGCTGCAAGGCTCTGGGGGTATCGGGCTGGCTTCCTTCATGGGCTTCCACGCAAAAACGCCGGCTCAGGGCTTGAACTTTAGGGTTAGTGTAGGGGCCTTCATAATTAGAACAGGGTTTTGGGGGTGTTCCTTATTATGTTTGTAGTACAATATACCCCCAGACCCTACTCTAACTATTAAGGCCTCTGCATTAAGAGTTAAGGCCCGCGAGGGTCCCGCTTTAGGTCCCAAACATAGCGCGGCGCCGTTATAGCAAGGACCCTAAAAGGGTGAGTAGCCTAAATCACGACAGTCACGAAGCTGGACGGTGCAAGACATTTTTCTGCTGTGCTTGAGGGGCGTGGTGAAGTAAACAACGGCAGCACCATGTGCAATCTGTTGTTCTCAACATGGGCAAGGGACCATGGAGCACATATTTCCAATTGCTTTGAACCAGCTCTGCTGGCGGATTCGTTGACGCAAGGGTGTGCGGGGTGGGTTTACACTGCTTTTCACCAGCATCTTCGTGAGGTTCATGGCTGCATTGTCGAAGTACTCCTTGTTCCCCTTCACAAAAGAGAAGCCGTTCACATCGCAGACCATAGAATGGCCGTCGGTCGTGCGAAGGATGTCGAAGCCGCATACACTCTGCTTGAAAGCTCTTACCACCATTCCTGACTGCTTCTTTGTCAGTGAATACCATACATCCTCGCAACAAATCCCCTAAGCCTTAAACGCGAGGCCCGAAGCCCGAGATCCGGGACGTCAGGATCTCTATGGAATCCATAGAACCGAGTTCTAACTCAAAGCCTAAATCCCTAAACCCCTATATAACCCCTAAACCCCTAAACACTATAAACCCCTAAACCCTAAACCCCTAAACCCTAAACCCCTAAACCCTAAACCGAGGTTCGGGACATGTGCTTCTCCTCTTCCGTTAGCTCGATGGTTTGGCGAACCTCCTTGCCGTTTGCGTCCCTCTCAACACCTCAGCGCTCTGAAGCTGCCAACCTAGGGATACAAAGAAAGCACTGACAGTACTATATTGTGCAAGTGAGACCTATAACTCCATCATGGTGATATATATATATATATATATATATATTTTAAACTAGACCATATTCAAGCAATGCTCGTGTCGGGATAAGGAAACTTAATTTCCCATAGCATCAATGTGCAGGTAGTCTGTTTGGCTTTCTGAGCTTCTTCCCTTGCGGAAACCACAAGAGAGAGCACTAAGCTCAACACGCCCATCCACCGCCGGCGCTTTGCGCACCTCGGCGTGTGCGTAAGTCTCGCCAACTGCATAGACCTTGATGTCCAGGCCACCTGTTTCCATGAAAGGCTCGTAGACATACATTCCATTCTCTCGAATGTGGCTCTGAGTGAGGTCGCGGATGCTCGATTGGTTTCCCTTCTTCCGATGCAGCTTGGTCGCACCACCGCCTTCGCTTGAAACATGATATATCCAAACAGCATGGTCGTCCGCATCCTGGGGCTTCTCCACAAAGGGCTTTGGCAAGACTTGCCCTCGCCATGTGATGCTGTCCGCATCTTGGACGAGTTCACCGGGTGTGACTGAGCCATGGTCGATGACGGTGTGAGGTGGGCAGGGGATCCCGGCCTCCGTAAGACGTTCATACATCCTGGGCTTTGAAGTTACCAGGAAAAAAGGTATAGACTTCTTTTCATAGTTGATTCCTCTTTAAGTAGCGTAACCAAACAAGCATTAAAGTACTTGGAGGTTCATGGGCAGTTACAAGCGTAGGGTTATAAGTCCCGTAATGGGACTTATAACTATAGTTACCCTACTTATAACCCCACTTATAACTACCCATGAACCTCCAAGTATTCCCCAAAACCCCATACCCTTATAGAACCCCTCTAGATCTCTTTAAAGGGACCCTTAAAGGAACCCTTGTAACTACCCCTTTGTAGAAAAGCCCAGCATCTGAACTCGGTCGGTAAGGATCTCCTGCTCCTCGAGAGCATTCACGAGCCAAGGGTTCCGTAGCCTTTGATACCTGGGCTTTTAGGTAACCAGGGAGAAAAAAGTATAAACTTTTTTTCCATAAGGGTTCCTTTAAGAAAAAAAGTATTAAAGTATGGTACTCCAAAGCCCAGATACTGAATGGCCTTTGGGAGTGGAAAACCTGAAGAGGCAAAGGCCAGAAGGCAAGCGACGATGGGCCAATTTTCCACCGGCTCGTGTAGAATCATGCTCTCCTTGAAGCGAATTATCGTGAACTTGCCTGTTGCTTGTAGCCTTTGAAGTAGCTCCGCCATCGAATCCGAATTTAGCTTCTTTTTCATGCAGCAAATGCCCACTGTGATCTTCGCCATGGCAGGTGGCACGAATTCTGTTTCTACCAGTGTTGCTAGGACTGGCAACCGTCCAATTGCTAGCGCCGCTTCTACCAAGCTCCTGCTACTACTACTGATCATGCGACCACTTGCTGGGATGTTGGCCATCGGCGGCGGGCACTGTGACCAGTGAGGGCCGTTCTTAAAGTATCGACACGCAGTCGTGATTCGCAGTGCCGAAGCGGGAAGCCTACTGCGGAAACAAGCGCTATGCCTTCAAGCCAGCAGCCGTTGGCAAAGTAATGCTCGAGCACTTCCATCTGCACATGGGCCTTTCTTTGTGGCAGAGCCAGTGAAACGCAGAGTCTGCAAGACCACCGAGACGCGGTCGCTATCTAACAATACAGCATGCCTTTTTCTGCGACTCTGCTCCCGACAGACACTCCCCGAGCCACACGCTGCACTACCGAAGGACAACTCCTCTACCTCTTGCTTGTGACTTGGGTCCGAGGGCATCGCCATTCAAGCGCATCGGTTTCTATGACTACAGTAACTGCAGGTTCACTCTGAAGGGTCGGGGCAACACTTGTAAAACAATATCGTGAGATATACTCATCTCCTACCCCGAATCCCGCCCTCACTTTCCCGACGTCTACCCGGTCAACATCACCACCAAAGCGACACGACGACGACGAAATTACGACCACAACTATGGCTGCCAATGCTGCTCCTTGAACTCCTACTGCAACCCCTACTCCAGGCTGCTGCTACTCCATCTCCTACTTCTACTACTAACTACCACTACTATTGCTCTACACGACGACCGACGACCACTACTGTGCCTACACTTCCTGGGTCATTTCCGCCTTATCGCACTGTTATTCTCGGCTTCGTAATTACTCTGTTCGGAGCCCTCCCTGTGCAATTGGTGTGGCGCGGGATCCTAACCCAGCAGGCACTGCGACACAGTAACCCGTTCATCTATGCAGGATGCTTATGCCTGCAGTGTCTCATTTACAGAAGCTGGGATCAGAAGCCCAGCCAAACGAAAATTTGCCCCCCAATATGTGGGCCTTCGGCGTTTTTTGTTGCTGGATCTCGATCTCACTCCACCGTGTCCGGATCCAAGCCCTTCCAAGCATACCGAGTTCCAGTATGCCTGGGCAAAGCTCCCAACTATTGGTATAGGCATGAACAACATTGATTCAATATTGCAAAATTATTACGATTACGGATTATTGTTTTTATTTCTATTAGCTCCAAATTCACATGACGGTAAACATGCATCTCACCTGGACCGCCAACCCATAATGTAACACTTCTGCAGTCCAAGTCGCAGGGCGTCGATGGCCTTCATTTCGGCGCTAGACCTGCGCGATATCCACCACTGCCCAGTGGTGCAAGACCCGAAGAAGACTTAATACCTGCATAATGAAAACTCTCCACAGACACCGCGAAGTTCGAACCCTGGCCTATCTCTTCCATCTTTCTACACCTGTAGGTTTCTGTTTGTTGAGCAATTGGTATGCCGTCAGGGCTACATACTTCTGGGAAGCCAAATCGCAAATTAACATCGATGGCGTTTGAATCAGCCCTGCAACGTATACCCTCCGAACTGAATCTGAAGCTGTAACGGCTGTGAATTCCCGTCGTTTGCCACAGAACACTTAGCCCGAAACTCTATAAAACCCTGAAGCAACTATATATAAGGCCCTAAGCAAATAAACTAACCCTAAAAAACTCTGTATATATACAAGCTACTGCTAGTAATATTACATCTCACGCGGGTTATGCTATATTAAGAGCTACCTTAACATTGTTGAGGACTTGGATATCTCCATTAAGTATGTATGTATGTTTGTTTGTCTTATTTATATACGCATACAACTACTACCTGGACCCCCAAAGTATGTAGAATAATCGCCTTTTGAAGGTTTTGGGCCATTATTTTACCTACTTTTGAAGGTCTAGGTAACAACAAAAAGGTCCGAATATAGTACCCTGAATATATAATAGGATCCTTATTCTATGGACCCCAAAATAAGGTACCCCTAATTTTCGGAAACTCCCACATACAACTACTAACAACAAAAGTTCCTAAACCCTAATCCCTGAACCCTAAACCCTAAACTGTAATTAACAAAAGGATCAGCCAGGAAGCAGCTTGAAGTTGAAGACGCCAGCGTTCTCCTTCATGCGCTCTGGGCGCACCGACTTGGGAACCACGTGGCCTTGGCTTTTTGGGGCATTAATTGGTGCTTACAAAAGGGGGTTTAGGGTTTAGGGTTTAAGGTTTAGGGTTTAG